GCCAGATGCTTCACAGAGGTTTTTCTCACCTGACCTGATATAACCCTGGGACATGGGCACCGCTGCCCTTTTCCCAGTGAGGGAGCCCCGCCCTGGAGCCCAGCGTCACTGACTGTAGGTGCCTGTGGCTGGGAAGAGGCAGTCAGGTTCCCAGCTCAGTTCCAAGCCATCAGCCCGTGTTCTGACTCTCACCGTCTGAAGAGGTGCAGACCAGTGCCATGGGCGTGCAGGGCCAGAGGTGGGGCCTGGGCCGGAGGCCGGGTGCTTCCTCCCCAGGTGCGCCTGGCCTGCAGGGTCACCAGGAACCAGGTAGGGGACCAGCTCTGCTCAGTTACAAGGAACTCAGAAGACTCAGAGAAAGAAAATCACAGAAAACTAAAACTATCTGTCCTATCTCCTACCAAATATTTTACCAGAACAAGTAATAAAGTAGGTAATGACACACGCACGCACACGCACATGCACACGCAGACTCACTTAGAACGGTGTACTAGGGAAAGGGTGTGAGGATCTGTGTCTGTGCACTTGCATGCCACTGTTGACCCTTTTCTGGTGTAATAAAGAGGAAAGCAGCAGGCTGATTGGAGTGTCATAGAGAACACGCAGCTGAATGTCGTTGGTCTAAACGCAAGTGTCCAGGCTTTCAGAAGTCACATCTGGCATGTTTTCCTGAGAGAGCTGCTGATCCATCCTTGTCTCTCTAATGTTAACCAAATATTCTGGGGACAAGAGAAGGCTGTGGGTTATGTTCTGAGAGTACTGTCCTAGGGTGTGGCCATAACGACTTTTTCATTTCTGGAGATTCCTTTAACAAGGCACAGTGGGTTAAGTCGCCGCTGGAGACACTTGCATCCTGTATGGGCGTGCCGGTTCAAGTCCCAGCTGCTCCACACATCTGACCCAGCTTCTGCTGATGCATCCCAGGAGGCAGCAGAGAAGGGCTCAGGTATTTGAGCCCCAACCACCAACATAGGAGACCCACATGGAATTCCTGGCTCCTGGCTTCAGCCTGGTCCAGCGCTGGCTGTTGTCGGCATTTGAGTAAGCCAGCAGACTCTCTCTCTCTCTGCCTTTCAAGTAGATAAAAATAAACATATAAATATTAAAAATTAAGCCTCCTGTAAAATATAAATATATATATATATATATATATTTGAAAGGCAGAGTTACATAGAGAGGGAGAGACAGAAAGAGAGGTCTTCCATCTGCTGGTTCACTCCCCAAATGGCCGCAGTGGACTGAGCTGCACCAATACGAAGCCAGGAGCTTCTTCCAGGTCACCAACGCAGGTGCAGGAGCCCAAGGACTTGGGCCATCTTCCACTGCTTTCCCAGGCCATAGCAGGGAGCTGGATCAGAAGTGGAGCAGCCAGGACTTGAACTGGTGCTCATATGGGATGCTGGCACTGTAGGCGGCGGCTTTACCCGCTATGCCACAGCGCCAGCCCCAGGGATGTTTAGTGCATCACGCAGGCCCACTGGCCTTGCCCCTGGACTGTGTAGTGACGGGGGCGGGGGTGGTTTAGAAACAAGTCCTCCTTGAGTGTGGCGTCCTACAGGGTTTGCAGTGCCTGTTCCCTGTGCTGTCAGGAAAACACCACACTCACTCTGCTCGTCATAGGTCCCATCCCAGTAAGTGCGTGTCCAGACACGCGCGTCGGTAACGTGTTAGGAAATGGACTGGGCCGCAGCTGGAACAGGGCTGGCCTGGTGTCACAAGAGAGGCAGCTGCCTCACCTGCCTGTCACACTGCGAGAAGCAGGCCCACACACGCCCACCTCGAAGGCCAGGCCCCTCAGCGAAGCCCGGACATGAGATGGCGAGGGCGACGCAGCAAGTGTTGTCTTCAGGCCCAGTGGCCGTGTAGCAATCACGGTCCTTCCTCCTTCACTCTGCTGGGCCTGAGCCTGGAAGGATGAACGGGACAGGAGGCAGACAAAGCGCCCTTGACAATGCGGGGAGGAGGGGAGAGGAGGCTGTGGCCCTGGCGGGGCAGCTTCCCCGCATAGCCCAGGACACTTGGGGGAGAAGGGGGATTAGCCAGGTGAAGGCAGGGGAGAGACAAGAGCATTTAGTGAGTTAGTGAAACAGGAAGTGTGAAACTGTTTCCAGGGAGGCCGAGGGTTAAGTGCCCCTGCCTATGAGGTGGGAGCGAGTGGGACCACCCTGGGCTAGAGTGAAAGTGATGAAAAGGGACCAGACAAGCAGGGGCAGGTCCTGCGAAGCTCCATGCAGGATAAAAACAGCACACACGTGCTGAGGACCCGCCGTGTGCCAGGGACTGTGCAAGGGCCTCATACTCTCACACAGCTGGGCCTGGAACAGACTCTGATACCCCGATTCTAGATCTTTCCACGTGTCCAGCTGTCGACAGAAAGGGCTCTACTGAGACGTAATTCACATCCTCTACAACTGACCAGTTTCAAGTTTCCACTTCAGTGGCGGTGGGTATATTCAGACCATGCACAAATCAGAGGGGACTTCATCACCTCGAATGGAAACCCTTGGCCGTCAGCCCCCGATCTGCCCACTCAGATGCTGCAAGTGCCTGGGGCCCTGTGGTACGTGGGGCTCTGTGGCTTGGGACATTCACTCAGCATCGTGATTTCCAGGCTTACCCACCTTGTGTGACCCTGCCGGCACTTCACTCCTTTTCACTGCCAAGTAACACTCCGCCGTGTGACAGACCGCGTTTCAGTTCTCTCTCTGCCAGTTGATAGCATTTGGGTTGTTTCCACGTTTTGATGTTATGAATAATGAACACTCATCTACAAGCTTTCGTGTGTACATGTTTTCATTTTTCATGAGTATATACCTAGAAGTTAAATCTCTGGGTCCTATGGGAATGTGTCTCTAACGTTTTGAGGAAGTGCCAATTTTCCAAAGCAGCTGCATCGTTTATACTCCCACAGCAGTGCATGAGGGTTCCGGTCTCTGCACCCCTCGCCCTTACCTGTCACTACCTGTCACGTTGATTACAGCATCCTAGTCGGGACAGAGCAGCTTCTCACCGTGGTTTCACTCACGCTTCCCCGATTACTAATGACGTAAGGCATCGTCTCATGTGCTGAATGGCCATTTGTTTATCTTTTCAAAAACCATATATTTGGGGGCTGGCTGGTGGCATAGCAGGTAAAGCCACCATGCCAGCATATCACATGGGTGCTGGTTCATGTCCTGACTGCTGTACTTCCAGTCCAGCTCCTTACTAATGGCCTGGGAGAGCAGTGGAAGATGGCTCAAGTGCTTGGACCTCTGCACCCCTGTGGGAGACCCAGAAGAAGCGCCTGGCTCCTGGCTTCAGCCTGGCTCAGCCCTGGCTGCTACAGGCATTTAGGGAATGAACCAGTAGATGGAAGATTCATATTCATCCATTCTCTCTCTCTCTCTTTCTCTCTCTCCCTCCCTCCCTTCCTCCCTCCCTCCCTCCCTTTCTCTCTCCCTTTCCCCCTCTGTAAATCTGCCTTTCAAATAAATAATTTTTAAATGCCTATTTAGATCTTTTTACTATTGTTTAAAGATTGATTTATCTATTTATTCATTTATTCATTCAAAAGTTAGAGCCAGAGAGAGAGAGCAATATGCAGGTCTTCCATCTGCTGGTTCACTCCTCAAATGCCCACAATAGCCAGGACTGGGCCAGGCCACAACCAGGAACTCCATCTGGTCTCCCCATGGGTGGCAAGCACCCAGCTGCTCGAGCCATCATCCACTGCTCTCCCAGGCACATTAGCAGAAAGGTGGGTCTGAAGCAGAGCAGCTGGGACTCAAACCAGCACTCTGAGGTGGGATGGATGCCCCTGTTACAAGTGGCAGTTGAACCCGCTGCACCACAACTCTGGCCTCTCCTTTGCTTATTTTAAGATTTGTTTATTTCATTTTTATTTGAAAGGCAGAGTTTCAAAGAGAGGGAGAGAGAGAGAGGGAGGGAGAGTCTTCCATCCACTGGCTCATTCCCCAAATGGCCCCAATGGCCTGAGCTGGGCCAGTCAAAAGCCAGGAACCAGGAGTTCCTTCCAGGTCTCCCATGTGGGTGCGTATAGTGTGTATAGTGTCCTGCCAACACTTTGATTTCACACTTCTGGCCTTCAGAACTATAAGAGAATAAACTTGCATTGCTTTAAGTCACTCAGTTTATGGTGATCTGTTGCAGTAGCCACAAGAAACTAATACAACATGGCTCAAAGAAGTTGCAGTGGGAGGATTTGAAGCGAAGGGGTCGTAGCAGGTGTCTAGCCTGGTGGTCTGAGGCATCCATGCCTCTTCAGAGTGCCTGGGTTGGCTGCTTTGCTCCAGATCTCAGTGCCAGCATCCTCCTTATGCAGACCACAGGAGGCAGTGGTGTTGGCTCAAATACCTGGGTCCCTACCATCCACATGGGAGACAGGAATGGAGTTACCAGCTCCTGGCTTCAGCCAGGCCCAGCCCTACCATTGCAGATATTTGGGGAGTGAACCAGTAGACAAAAGTGCCGGCCAGCGCCGCGGCTCGCTAGGCTAATCCTCCGCCTGCAGCACCAGCACCCTAGTTCTGGTTGGGGCGCCGGATTCTGTCCCTGTTGCTCCTCTTCCAGTCCAGCTCTCTGCAGTGGCCCTGGAGTGTAGTGGAGATGGCCCAGGTGCTTGGGCCCTTCACCCACATGGGAGACCAGGAGGAAGCACCTGGCTCCTGGCTTCAGATTGGCACAGCACACCGGCCGCAACACGCTGGCTGTAGTGGCCACTTGTGGGGGTGAACCAACAGAAAAAGGAAGACCTTTCTCTCTGTCTCTCTCTCTTACTGTCTAACCTAGTCGGGGCGCCAGATTCTGTCCCGGTTGCTCCTCTTCCAGTCCAGCTCTCTGCTGTGGCCTGGGAAGGCAGTAGAGGATGGCCCAAGTGCTTGGGCCCTGCACCCATATGGGAGACCAGGAGAAGCACCTGGCTCCCGGCTCGGATCAGCGCGGTGCGCCGGCCGCAGCACACCGGCCACAGCAGCCATTGGGGAGTGAACCAATGGAAAAGGAAGGCCTTTCTCTCTGTCTCTCTCTCTCTCACTGTCCACTCTGCCTGTCAAAAAAAAAATTTTTTTTTAATTTTTAAAAAAAGAGTGCCATGATTTTTTAATCACATTAATTTTTTTATCACATTTTCTTCTGGCCTCTTTGAAAGATGGTGGCTTTTTCAGCTGAGTTTGGTCATTCCATCTCAATTTTTATTTGCTTTTTCAGTTTCTTTGGATTACTGCTGGTTACTCCTGCCTTGAAGTACTGTACTGTATCATAGAATCTAAGATGCACCATTATGTTATTTCCTACTAAGGGGAAAAAAAAACATCAATTACACTTGTGTGACATTATGAGTCAGGAGCATCCCAGTTCAAAGATATGAAAGGGTGAGAAACTGGGTCTTAGGACCAGTGAAATCTGAAAACACCCCAGAGCCTCTTTTCCGTGCTCCGTGAGCCTCAGGCAGCGTCTCCTGACTCAGCCCTGTGTCATCAGAAGGCGTGCGCAGCCTCCCCCGACTGCTGCTTGTCTCCCGCTCTGAACTTCTGCCACCAGAAACTTCACTTTCACGTTGTTAACATGAACACTTCCATTGCTTTATGCTTTGGTGACGGATTCTGAGCCGGTAATTGGTATTTCTATTACAGTGGTCTTGTAAATAGCATTTCCTTCCGAGCTGTGCGGTATTCCAGGATTGCATCTCCTTCTCGTGGATTCACTTCCTGCTTTCTCGGGAACTCCTGCCCTGCTGGGTGGCTAACCCGCAGGCCGTGCCGTTCATGCCACGACTGAGCCACGGAGAAGCATGAGGCTAGTTCTGGAAAGCAGTTAGAGCCTAAACACTGAACACGGCTGCTGCTGGCGTGTTCCTCTGCTCACTGACACTGCTCTCTCCATAGAGCTTCTCTTCACCCCCTCAGTTCACCCCCAAGACCTGAGCTCACCAAAATGTCTCCCCAACAGTCAGGCCGTGGGGCCAGCATTGTAGCACAGTGGGTTAGGCTGCTGCCTGTGGCATTGGCATCCCCATAGGAGTGCTTGATTGAGTCCCGGTTGCTCCACTTCCCATCCAGCTCCCTGCTAATGCACCTGGAAAAGCAGCAGAGGATGGCCCAGGTGCTTGAGCCCTGCACCCACCTGGGAGACCTAGGTTGGAGCTCTAGGCCCCTCATTTTGGCCCCAGTTGTTGTGGCTATTTGGGGAGTGAGCCAGTGGATGGAAGATCTCTCTCTCTTTCTCTCTCTCTCTCTCTCACCTCTGCCTTTCCAATAAATAACAGAAACATTTTGTAAACAGAGTCAGATAGTAAACATCTCACCTTTCGCAGACCATCCCGTGTCCGACCCAGGCTCTGAGTTTTCCCATGGGGGCACAAAAGCAGCCGTGGACAGAGGCATGTAGGGCACTGCTCAAGCCTGCGTTCCCATAACACTGTACTTACAGACACAGGCTGAGAGCCACGGCCTGAGCCTGCCAACCCCTCATGTAGAAGAGGTCCTGGGGGACACCAGAACCTCCATTGGAAGGTTTAGAATTACCTAAATGGAAGTGACTGTGACACAGCCACACAAGCCCAAGACAAGGAAACAAGATGTTCACTTACGTCCGTAAGATGTGGCCGATATGGGTCATCCCAGAGCCCCAAGGAAGCAAGTCTGCTGAAGCCGCGCTCTCACGCATGTCTCCCTTGCCCGCGCAAATCGAGGAAGACAGAAGAGAGAAGCATCTTTCAGCCAACCGCACACTCCTGGGTCAAAGGTGGCCTTCCAGTGCCAAAAATAGAATGCTGCTGAAGCTGCTTCCTGCTGACGGAAGGGCGCCCCCTGGGGCTGCCCGCTGTGAAAGGGCGTGGTTCATGAGACTTTTGTCGTTTTCCAATCACCAAATCAAATCACGGGCAGTGACGTGGAACAGGAGTCAGTCACCATTATCGGAATATTGCTGGCATTTGAAGGAAAATTCTAGACGATGGCCAGGATCAGATTCCAAGAAATACCTCTAAGCTTAAGAGCAAACATACCCTGCACCATGTTTTCTTCTCCATACTATCACCCTTCCCCTCGCTCATATCTGACTCCAAGAAGCTAGCCGGCCGGCATTGCCTTTGGAATTGCCCATTTGGAAATCTGGGACTACCAAGATTGCCCGGTCACGGGCCCCCCAGCCACATCGCTGATTCATTTCCGCGTCTACACCAGCACTAACCCCCTCTCCCTGTTCAGTCTGGACATCCGAAGTCAGGTTGGAGTTCCAAAGGCCTCCTCCTCCTCAGGACGTGACTTACGATTTCACCTTTGTGTCCTTGTCTGCAGAACTGAAAAACAGTAAAGTCAGGGGCTAAAGCCTGGGGAGAGACCCCAGCCCCTCTGTGCCCACAGCCTCCTCCCCACGCCCGCCTGCTGCAGCTCGGAGCGGGAGCAGGGTTACATAAGTAAGAGGGCCACCTGCTTGAAGATCCTCAAAGACTAACGTTCTCTAGGGTTCCTGAGTCCTCCGTCAGCACAGGTGCAATGCGTCGTGTTTCTGTGTTCTCAGAAACGGCAGCATTTGTTTCAAAAGCTGTGTTCTGAAGTCACTCATGTGACTAACAAGCGCCGCACGCCAGATCGCAGAGTGTGAACCCGACCAGCTCCCAGCCTCGGGTGAGCAGGGTTTTCAGTGCCGTGCCCTACAAGACGTGTTTTCATAAGCTAGAAGTAGACCCTTCGTGTGCAACCGCTTGTGGATTAAACTTCACACTGAATGGCCACTGCAAAAGCACCTGTAATGGAAACAGCACACGCGCTCGGCTTGCTGAGAAAGCCCCTTGGCTGTCACTGTCTCGGGTCTCCACCGAAGGTCTTGTGTTGCTTTGCAGAGACTTACATATCACAAATGGCCACTGGCCGCAGCTGTATGGACTTAGCGGGATGATCTTCGTTTTTCTAGAGAATGAGGCCTGCATGTCAGCTTTTCATTCTCCGGGGTAGCTGCGCCCAGACCCACACCTGTTGTCCCCCGCTGACTGAAGCTGGGCAGCTGGGGCTCTGGGGTCTGACCGTGCTCGGCTCCCTTCGTTCCATTTCTTCCCGCAGCCTGGTCCCAGCTGCTCCCCCAGCACCAAAGCACGAGCCTGTGTGGACAGGGGGAGAGAGGAAAGGAGGGGGCTTACTCAGTAATGGAAACACATCCGCCAAAGGGGGAGTTAATATTAGCCGAGCACCTGTGGGGCGGGGGATCCCAGCAGGAATGCCCCACACCCTCTTCAGCTGTCCCTGGTGCTTCACCCTTTGCAGATGGTTGCAGGAGTCACTGACAGCCTCGGGATATTATTGTGCCCCTTGGGGATCTAAATGTTCCATCCGGGAGAGGGTAGCTGGCCAAGTGGCTAGGACACTGTTTCAGATGCCCGCATCCCATATCAGAGTGCCTGTGTTCGAGTCCCAGCTCTGCTTCCAGCCTTCGGCTGATACACACCCTGGCAGGCAGTAGGAGAGGGTTCAAGTGCTTGGGTTCCTGCCACCCGCATGGAAGACCTGGGTGAAGTTCTGGGCTCCTGGCTTCAGGTTGGCCCAGTTCCAGTGGGCATTTGAGGAATGAACCAGGAGATGGGAGATCTATTCTGTCTCTCTCTCTGCCTTTTTTTTTTTTTTAAAGATTTATTTATTTGAAAGTCAAAGTTACACAGAAAGGAGGAGAGGCAGAGAGAGAGAGAGAGAGAGAGAGAGAGAGAGAGAGGTCTTCCGTCCACTGGTCCACTCCCCAGTTGGCCGCAACAGCCAGAGCTGCGCCGATCTGAAGCCAGGAGCCAGGAGCTGCTTCTGAATCTCCCACACATATGCAGGGGCCCAAGGACTTAGGCCATCCTGTACTGCTTTCCCAGGCCACAGCAGAGAGCTGAATCGGAAGTGGAGCAGCTGGGACTCAAACCAGCGCCCATATGGGATGCCGGCACCACAGGCATCTTACCTGCTATGCCACAGCACTGGCCCCTCTGCTTTTCAAAATAAGTAAAACAGACTTTGTGTCCAAAACACTCCTGCCTGAGACACAAAAGCATCACTGCCTGCTCACATCTGCTCTCCTATTGCCTTGCTCAGGGATACTTTTCTTTTAAATTTTTTTTAAAGATTTATTTATTTAACTTGAAAGTCACAGTTACATAGAGAGAGGAGAGGCAGAGAGAGAAAGAGCGAGAGAGAGGCCTTCCATCTGCTGGTTCATTCCCCAGATGGCCCCAATGGCCGGAGCTGCGCCAATCCAGAGCCAGGAGCCTCCTCGGGGTCTCCCATGCGGGTTCAGGGGCCCAAGGTCCTGGGCCATCTTCTACTGCTTTCCCAGGCCATAGCAGAGAGCTAGATCGGAAGTGGAGCAGCCGGGTCTCGAACCAACACCCATATGGGATGCTGGCACCACAGGCAGCGGCTTTACCCACTGTGCCACAGTGCCGGCCCTTACAATTTTTTTTTTCTCAACAGTAAAAGTCATTATTCCCTGTTCATGGGGAAATTTTGGAAAACACAGAAAAGCATAAAGAAAAAAAGGGAAATAATCTGAAATTTTTGCATGCAGAAATTATTTCTGCTTCCGGATTAACGTAGCAGAGCAGTTGTGATGGAAAACAAGTCTCACGGTGGGCGTTTCCCACTCACACAGAAACTTCGTGCCATTGAGTAAAAATTGTACTTACTGGCCATCGTGATTGTTCCTGATTTTTCCCTTGTAGTTTATGCTGTGGTGAGCATCCTTGCAGCAAAAGTATCTGCTGCACCTCAGACTGCTTCCTGAAGACACACTCTGGACTAGAAAAGGGGTGGAGCAGCAGGCGTGAGAGCCAGGGGCAAGCAGACAGCCTGGCATGAGAGGGACTGGAAAGACCGGGCAGCAAGCAGGACGCCTGGGCCTGGAGAGGCAGCTGGGCCGCGGGGACCCCCAGCGTTCAGACTGCTCTCTAGGCAGTGAGGAGCTCAAGGGAGGTTTCAAGCCACAGGTGAGGCTGGTACTGCAGAGAGGCACTTCTGCAGGGCCACTGGTTGCAGCTTGAAGAGCGGACAGCAGGTGGGGAGCCCAGGGGCTGCTGGGAGGATGGTTTCTGCGCCATATGATGGACGTCTGAATAGCAAAGTGGCAAAAAGGAGGAAGGGAGAGGGTGTGCGTTTGGGACAGATTAAGAGGCACTGCCTCCAGGACCTGCTGATGGATTGCCAGGGATGATGGATTGCCAGGACTGGAAGATGGATTGCCACAGGCTTCTGGCAGTGAACCTGTGGGCTCCTAGCCACGTGCTGATGCCCAGGAGGCAGCTGAACATGAAGGCTGGAGCCCAAGTGTGTAGAGATTTGGGAGTTTCCAGCTTATGGGATTATCTGAAGCCATGTGAGTGGAGGAAAGCAGATGAATGTCAGGGCGAGCAGCATGAGAGAGCAAAGGCCATTGTGCTGAGCGCTTCCAGGGGGTCAGGGAACGGGAGCAAAGGCAGACCACCTTCCAGCTGGCAGAAATCTATGATCTGGAAAACCAGCGAAGCAGGTGGAATGCTGAGGCCTGGCTTCCTGGGGAAGAGCCCTGTTGTTCAGCTGATGCCCAGCAGACAGAGTGGAAATGGGCATGTCTGCCCCAGGCACTCCCCAGGCCACCAACGCTGGCTCCCTCAGGACTTCCTTTTCTAGATTCATTCATATACTTGAAAACAGAGTTACAGAGAGAGGAGAGGGAGGGGGAGAGAGAGAGAGAGAGTTAGTTAGTTTTCATCTGCTGCTTCACTCCGAAGTTGTGTCAGGCCAAAGTCGGAAGCCAGGAACTCCATCCTGGTCTCCCATATGGGCAGCAGGGATCCAAGCACTTGGGGCCCTGCATCTGCATGGGAGACCTGGAAGAAGCTCCTGGCTCCTGGCTTTGGATCAGCACAGTTCTGGCCATTGCAGCCCTTTGGGGAGTGAACCAGTGGATGGAAGACCTCTCTCTCTCTTTGCCTCTGCCTCTCTCTAACTCTGCCTTTCAAATAAATAAATAAATCTCTAAAAAATAAAAGTCTTTTTTTAAAAAATCTTAACAAAAATAAAAGTGGAGCAGCTGGGACTCAAACTGGTGCCCATACAGAATGCCGGTGTCAGAGGCACCATGCTGGCCCTTTGATGACTTCTCATGACGCCTCTATTGTGCTTCTTAGATTAATCCAAATATCTCCACTCTGGGCACCTCATTCAAGGCCAGGGGTCACTGCTGTCCCACTGTTGCCAGCAAGCTCCTGATTATGCACTGGTGTCCCTGAGCAAACACCACTGGGAGCAGATCCTATCTGATTGAAAGACAAAAGGCAAACATCAGAGAGCAAGTCCCAGATGGGACATTTTACCCTTCCAGTAACTGCCAAATCTCTACCCATTTGAGTTCCAGGTTTCAGATTCAGATTTACCACGTCCTGGAGCTCCTTATTTCATTATCCATCCCCGAGTCCTGACACTTACCTGAGGCCTGGGAGTTGTCAGGGAATTCCCGGGAGCCACAGTGCAGCCAGGGAGGGCCGAGTGCAGGACTTAGCCCGTGGTGCAGTGCAGTAGTCGCCATGGTTGCTGATTAGAGGCATGAATTGTTGCTGCTCAGTAAGCAGACGATATGAAACCTAATAACTGCTACTGCACATTCTAGAAGCGTAAATGTTGTTCCAGCCACCTTTCTCCACCTCTCTCAGCATGACTGCCTGCGTATGTGTTTGGATCTACCTCCCGGTGCTGAGCGTGCCGGTCAGGTGTTGGAATGATCTGGCCCAGCCTTTGTTGAACGCTTCTCACTGCACTGCTCCTCATTCTGCACCCACAGGGCCCTTTATGCTGGATTCACACAGAGGGCTGTTAATGCCTTGAGCCACATTTAGCAAACTGGGGATTAATGTCTCCAAACACTGAGCTGACGCCCTTTTTTCCCCCAGAAAAACACTTCCCTTTATAGAACCTTGTCCCAACAACACTCCATCAAGCTTTATGTGGGGTTGCAGAGTAGGCTCACTACACAGACCTCGCCTCCCTCAGGTGAAGCAACCAGTTTAAACTCACAGCCCAACGGCCTGGTGTTGTAGGACCCTGGGGACTGAGGCTCCGTCCAGACCCTGTCTTCCTCCCACGTGCACTCTCTCTCCACTGGCCCGGCTCCATGTTGGCTGTGTCCTGCCCCACCCTAGGTTCTGCACAGTGGAACCCCTGGCGCAGGCAGCTTCGGAGGTGTGCTTTTCCCAAGCTGTCAACCTAATGGGAAGAGGAAACATTTCCTACTTCCAAGTCTAGGATTCCCAGGCATAGCCTCCAGCCAGTTTGGATCCCATGCCCTCTGCCCAGGCTCACCCCCTGGAATCAGGGATTGGTATCCTGGGAGTGAGTGGCCCAGGGCTGTCCCGAGGCTGGGAGTGTGGCCCTGCACTGGGCAGCCTCTCCCACGGAGGAGGATCAGTTCCCTGAAGTGGGAGGAGGCAGAGATGTAAGGAAGAATGGACAAGACCCACTGCCAGTTACGCTCGGTACCAAGATGTCCTTCTCTCCTGAGTGACATGTTTCACTCCTGTCCCAGGGTGTGCTGTTGAGTCGCAGTGCAATGACTGCATTCTTGGAGTTAGGCTAATAGTCTGTATCATTTGTGCCACTGTCAGCCGTGTGATTTTTGTGTTTCCGTGTGCTATACACTACATCATACGTTGAGTACAGTTATTATATCTTTAAGACAGCATTCACTTCCATTATCTCATCTAATTCTTATGGCCGTCTGGACTGTTGGTTATGTCACCAACCCCATTTCACAGCTGGACAAGAGGCCTAGGGAGGTTCTGTGACTTCCCCAGGGGCTTGGTGATGGCAGACCTGGCCCCTGCCTGCTCTCCTTGGACTCGCCGCCTTAGCTATTTGTCCTCTGCAGTGTCTTATTTCTATTTGCCTGGCTCTCCTCAGCACCTACTCTGGCTGCTAAGCCACCTGCAAACCTCCTGTAGTGCTGCAGACCCCAAGAAGGTTCTGTGGGTGACACCGGTCAGTTGCAAACTGAGGAGCTTCCGGGGCTGCTGCTGGAGTGTGGATCCAGCGGCACCTTTGAGGCAGGAGCCCGGGGGCTGTAAGACGGGGCACCTGCATTAGCTCCCAGCTCGCCGGTCCACAAGGTCCCCGCACACTGAGCAGCCTTGTCTGCAGAGCCTCTTGGAAGGCGGCCTCGGCTCAGGACAGGAGTGCTCTTGCCTCAGTGGGGAACTCTGCCTGTGCCCCTTCTGAGAGACTACAGAGCCTGAAGCCATCCCTGCCCACCCAGGCTGCTGCAGGGGCACAGGGGCCCAGGGACCCCAACAAGCAGCACCCCCAGTGCCCCATCCTGGCCACTTCCACAAAGTACACCAGTGGTTCAGTGCCCTATGGTCCTGACATCACACACACACGCATGCACACATGTACACTCACGCACACTCACACTCTTTCTCCCCGGGGAAGACATTGTAGAAAGAAACAGAAGAGGGCCAGGCCCCCCTTGCCCGCCTGCCTCTCCCTGAGGAAGCAGCTCCTTGCCTTGTAGCTGCACCGCGGCTCCCACAGCTGCCCCCTTTCTTGTGCTCTGCCCGTCTGCCCTCTGCAACAACCCCTCGCCTTTCTCTGCCATCTGCTCTTATCTCCCCCATGACTGTGATGCTCCTGGGACCCTCCTAGACCACCCAGGGCAGCTGCTCTCACAAGTCTCCTGCGCCGTCCCCAGCGCCTGTTCCCACATACCACGACTCACTCAGAAACAACCCGACTGCAGTGCTGGATGAGAACGGACATGGATTCACGTGCTGGGGAGGGGCGGGGGGAAGGCTGACATCGCCTCTGCCTGCCCCGCAGAGCCACATGCAGAGCCGGCTCCCCTCACTCACCGGCCCCGCCACGCAGTGCTCGCTGCATCAGAAGGCACCGCCTATCTGTGCTGGCTTCCCAGTGCTGCTGAAACCACTGCGGCTTGTTTTCTCACAACGCCCACGGTCGCCAGGCCCCACCATGGTGTCAGTGGAAGGGTCGGCCACTCACCTCCCATGATCCTGGGCGCCACCAGCAGTCCTTGGCTTGTGGCCACGCCACTCCAGTCTCTGGCTCCGTAGGCGCATCACCTCCTCCTCTTCTCCCCAGGGCCAGTCTCCCTCCGCCTTCCTCTTGTGAAGACACGGCGGGGTAAATTTTGTGACCTTACATTAGGCTGTGACTTCTTAGATGCAACACCTACCGTATACGCCACCAGAGGAAAAATAGACAATACTTCAATTAAAAAATATGCTTTTATGCTTCAAGGGACACTGAAGAACAGACAAATCTCAATGTGGGCAAAAATATTTGCCAATCATTTATCTGATGAGCATTTATATGCAGAGTATATAAAGAGCTCTCACAACTCAATGCTATAAGGGGCCCCAGGGTCTACCTGGACAATCCAGGATCACGGCCCCTCCCAGAGAGCCCATACCACACAGGGTAACATGCACAGGCTCCAGGAGTCAGGACACGGGTGTCTTGTGGGGGGAGCTTATTCAGCCTCACACACTCCCCATAATCCCGGTGCTGCACCTGTGCTTTCCCACAGCCAGCACTGCAAGGGGCAGGGGAGGAGGCGGGACATCTCCCAGAGGGCTGCCCCCTCCCCCAGCACAGGCCCGGGAGAGGGGCAGCTCTGAGGAGGGCAGCTCCCAGGTGGCTCTACTGTGGGAATGGAGCCGTTTTGTTTTCTCACAGCTGTGAGGAACATAGAGGATGGCTCGTCTCTGCCTTCCCACCATGCATCTCCAGAACGCACAGTCAGGGAGGACAGGCACCGTCCTTGGCTTGCTGTCCTCAGTGCTCCTGGCTGCACTTGCACGGACTCAACACATGGTCACCATATCTCCTGGGAGAGCCTCACAGCCTCTCCTAGCCGGGTCAGCCACCTCCTGCCATCAACTTGCTGGCATCCAGGGCGGATCTGGTAGCAGCAGGCATGGCTGTGTTCTGAAGGCTATTTTGAGATAGATCTTTTTCATGTGGCCATTGTTTTGTGGGGCAGGGGGAGGCAGAGCAACAGAGAGAGGGAGATCTTCATCTGCTGGTTCACACCCCAGATGCCCACAGTAGCCAGGGCTGGGCCAGCCCAGAGCCAGGAGCCAGAAACTCTATCCATGTCTCCCAGATAGGTGGCAAGGACCCAAGCACTTGAGCAATCTTCCACTGCCTCCCAGGCTGTGCATTAGCAAGGAGCTGCATCGGAAGTGTGAGTAGCCTAGACTCAAACCAGGAACTCCATGGGGCCAGCATGGTGGCATAGCGGGTAAAACCACTGTCAGTGATGCTGGCATCCATATGGGTGCCAGTTTGTGTCCTGGCTGCTCTATTTCCAATCTAACTCCCTGTTAATGGCCTGGGGAAAGCAGCAGAATATGGCCTAGGTGTTTGGGCCCCTGCTACCCTCGTGGGAAACCTGGAAGAAGCTCCTGGCTCCTGGCTTTGGCCTGGCCCAGTGCTAGTCATTGCAATCCTCTGGGGAGTGAACCACTGGATGGAAGATCTCTCTCTCCCTTTCTCTGTCTCTCCCTCTGTGTAACTCTTTCAAATTAAAAAAAAAAAAAAATTCTGATACAGGATGCAAGTAGTGGCTTAACCCACAGAGCCACCTGGCCCACCCCTGTGGCCATCTGTTTTTAAAACAGAAAATTGAAACCTGAGCCAAGCACAGTGACGATGGAGGGCTGGGGAAAGATGCTCACAGTGGCCCTAGGAAAAGGCGCTGAGTGTGGCAGCTGATGATCGCTGCCCTTGGCCGAAGTTCCTATCTGCTGAGGGCAGGCGGCTGGGGGCAGGGAGGACCGAGTGCGCCCGCAGCCCCTGTCTTCTGTGAGAACAGTTCTCCTGCAGGGAAAGGAACGCCGGTGCCACACAACCCAGGGGAGAGTTGTCCTGGTTAGAAGGAGACCTCAGGCTGGCTGCCTCCTTGTCAAAAATAACTATACCTTGAAAGCAGGGGCTCAGACCCAGCAGCCTGCCGAAGCCGTGGTGAAGGGAGTGAGACGAGGATGTGGTAAGGGGTCGCTGGCTCTTGGCACCGGCCCAGCTGCCATCTGCACTTCTGACCTGTCTTAACACAGGGTCCCTGGGACCCAGCAGTGCCGCAGTCACACAGATGCACAACTGAAGGCTTATTTGGAAACTCAGAGCCAACAAAGGACTTGAACACACGTTGAGATCAACTAAAATAGAAGGTTTAGAGAGGTAATTTGAAGAACCAAGAATGGGGTACAGTCTAAAAATCTGTAATAAGCGGGGAGGGAGGAGGTCTGTGTTGCATCCAGAAGGTGATAGACCAGAGGTTCACTGCGCACGCGCTGCATGCCAGGCCAGAGATGGGGGTACAACAGAGAGCACAACACAGGCCCTGCCCAGGAGTTTACAGCGTGGTGGGGAACCAGACAAGCACAGCGCAGGGACACACAGCAGGGGGACAGCTGGCCCCACCTGGTAGGATGAGCAGTCTCCCAGAAGTGGTGCTGACACTGAGAAACAGCGCACGCACACAAGTGGGTCTGGGAAAAGCCCGAGAACCTTCCGGGCAGGAAGCAGCATGTGTAAAAGCCGCAAGGCAGGGCACCGAGGCTGGTAGCTGGGGGGGTGTGGGTGAAGCAGCAGACCCGCGGCTTAAGGGCCTAGAGAGGAAGGCCACAGGGGAGGACATACAGGCCAGAGAGCAGGGGACTGTGGCCTGGTCCTGTTCCTCCCGGGCTGCGTGACCCAGCTGCTGTCACTGAAGATCGGCTCCAGACAGGCCAGCATCATCCCTGGCCGCACACCCCCCCCCCCAAACCCACCGTGATCAGTGGATCCGACACTTCCGGTGGACAGGGGCCTTGGTCTCCAGTGAGAAAGCAGGGTCAGGGCCATAAAGAAGCTGCCAAGCAGAGCCTGTGGCATTGTCTCTGCCACACAGAAGCCTGGGTCCCGAGAGTTAGAAGCACCCTTCCTCTGCAGCCCGTATCTGGATTTGCCTCCCAGACGCACAGGTCTGCTGGCATACCTATACTCCAGGGGGACAGTGTTCTTGAGATCACAAGGAATTTTAGGAATCACCTGACAAGAAATGTCAAGTGATACTGATCAGACGGCAGACCCCAGCAGCTGCTCTGCACAGCCGCATGCTGTGTGGCCAGCTAAAAATAGCTGGGAACCCAACCTCTCCGCTGGGGTCTTTCAAATGGGATAGCCACAGGAAGCCAGGTGGGGAAGAGAGAGGGGAGGGTTGTCCTGGGACCCCTGGAATGTCACAGCAGGCGCCTGCAGCTCCCCACTGCAGTCCGCACTTTGCAGATGGTGGAAAAGCATGTTGGCCCCTGGACTCTGAGAATTTCTCATCTCAGCTGTATCTCCCTGAGGTCCACAGAAGTTAGGCAGAAGCAGAAGTAAGCCACTTGGCCGCTTGCTGTGACACCTGAGCCGGCGGGGCAGCGTCCCGGGCGCTGACGGAGCCACAGCCCCGCTCTCGGCTGTGAAACCGTGAAACCGCAGCTGGGACTTTCTCAGCGGCAGAGGAAGCGAGGCGGCCACGACAGGACGGCAGGACGAAGCGAGAGGAAATTCAGAAGATATCTATAGAGATACTCATTGCCCCCAGAGGAAGCCGGGACACTCCCGCGCGGGGAAGGGCACTGGCGGGGATTTTTGGTTTTTTTCCACTGCACGTTTCAAGGAAGAACAACCTCCTCACCCCTCGCGGCGCCAGCTCCCCGGCCTCTGCTAGTGCCCATCGGCCCCGCGCCGAGCGCTCCTGTGCAGCCCACAAAATCCACAAAATCAGGGGTGCGGAAACCCAGGCTCCGTGGGGCCGCGTGGGGCAGCGGGAGGCGCGTCTTCCACTTCTCATTTGCATCCTGCCCCCTGGCTACCGGTGGTTACTCCTCAGCACGTACCCACTCCTTCCACCCGTGGGTGCGGCGGATGAAAGAATTGGGGGTTGGGAGCTTCAGGTGGGCAGGGGCTCGGAGGGGGTGGAGGGGATGGGGAGGAACAGTCCTCGGGTTCTAACCAGGCGCATGCGCCACGTTCGCCGTGGAGCCAGAAGGGACTCAGCCAGCAAAGGCGGCCACGGCCCCCATGCGCGGGGCCACCTTCCACCAGCACAGCTGCCGAGACTCCTGTTCCTGTCGCCTCCGGAGCTCCACCACCACCACCACACACACACACACACATGCTACACTCCCATGACCAAGTGCAGCCACGGAGTAGCCCCCTGTAGCCCATTTTGCAAGTCTGGAACTTGGAGGGTGGTGTGGACAGGTTCCCTCTGGCTCCCGGGTGACAGCCCGCTGGGACTGCCTGTGCCTTTGTCACCTCTCATTTTTCCTCTGACCACAGAACATAAAATCATTGGCTCTCAGAGTAACAAACTTTTTTGGACATGAATATTTGGATTTTTATTCAGTCCAGGCTGACTGGTGAGGGTGGTAGGGACCCAGCAGATTAGTGTGCACCCAGTGCTTTCCCGCAGCTGGTCATTACTCCTATGGTGTCCACACTCTTAAGTATTCCTTTATAGCTCTGGCTACCGACTGAAGCCCCTCCCCCCCCCCCGCACGCACCCTGTGTGTGTGTGTGTGTGTGTGTGTGTTTTCTTTTATTATTTGAAAGGCAGAGAGAGAAGGAAAGAAAGATCTTCTACCTAGTGGTTCACCCCAAATGCCAACAACAGCTGGGGCTAGGCCAGGCCAAAGACCAGGAAGCCAGGAACTCAATCCAGGCCTCCCACATGGGTGGTGGGGAGGGTAGCCCTGTGTCCTGGGCGCGTTAGCAGGGAGCTGGCTGGGGAAGTTCCCTTTCTTTGCACTTCCTCAAAGTTCTTTTCAGTTTGTCCTTGGCTGTGGAAGTGGATGGCTTTCATCACACAGTCCCCCCACACAGAAAAGAGGCAAGCATCGCCTGCGCCGGCTCCGTGCTATTTTAGGTGTGTTTCCAAGGAGTAGGTTGGTTGTCATGGTTTACAGAGAAGCGGGGAGGCAAGGATCCTGGAGGATCCTGGAGCGGGCAGCCGAAGGAGGCACGGCCATCTGTCCTGCGGCCAGGTTTCAAATGAATCCCTGCCGAAGGTCAGGTGGCATCTCGAGGCCCTTCCAGAGGTCCAGGCTGCCACGCTGAGGGCTGGACCTTGCAGTGAGCCCATGGGAAGGCCATGTGTCCTCCTGAGGCTCTGCTGGACCATGGGCCTCACACTGCCCACTCATCCCGCACCCCTGTCCCGCCAGAGACCACGTGCAGGGAGGAGGAACTTGGCCCAGCCTCCTTGAGGGCAGTAAAGTCTGCGTCCTGCAGTGTGGGCGTCACAGTGTGCTGTTTGTCACCCAACTCAGATGGTCTGTAAGTGGCTATGGCAAGGCCTGTTGGAAATCGCTTCCTTCCCTGGGATACCAGAGTGGCTTCCCCAAACAGGGGACACCAGGGACTCAGGTGCCCACCTCTGATAGAAGGAACCACGGCTGGAGGTTGGGAGGTGGCCCTCCAGGCAGGCCCCCCGCCCTCTGAGCCCTGGGACTCCCACCAGCCCACGCCGACCTGCCATATGCCAGCTATTCATCAGTACCTCTTTATGACCTCACTAAGCCCCAGCTCCAGGAGACGTGTGTCACCCAGGGGAGAGCTAGCTGCCTGGCAGATAAAAAGGTGCACGTTCCTGCCCACGCTCTGCCCTTTGCTGAGTCGTCAGAAACTCCAGGACCACGCCCCTTGCTCAGGGTTTGACTTGGTTGCAGGGCAGGGCTCTGGGCTCAGTGCCTGCTGTGCGGCGAGGCTGATGGCACGCAGTTCCCACTGTGTGCTTGCCTTGCGCGTGGCAGCCCTGCCCTCACCCCGTACACGTCCCTGTTCACACCCAAACACACAGTTTACAGAGGACACCGCGAGGCTGGGCCTTGAGCACAGGTGCACAGATCAATTTTCTGGAGCAGGAGTTGAGCAGAAAAACCGTCAGGTGAGGCAAGCCGCTGCAGCACAGTTCCCATTAATCCTGGCTCGCCTGGCTGCAGGCCTCGCCCCGTCGCGACTCCTGGGTAACACATGTCCCTGCGTTGGAAAAGCAGTAGGCCGGCTGCTCTTTGCCCAAGTCTCCCCTTGCTCAGTGCTTGTGTCTCCCGCTGGTCACACGCCCTGAGCCAACCCAAATCCAAATCCCCATTCCTGTTAGGCAACCCCATGAGCTCACCATCGGTATATCCGCGCATGCTCTAAGCTCCAAATCATCACCTCCCCTGGAGGGATAGACACGCACACGCGCGCAGGAGGGAGGATGACAGCGGCACCGGGGCGTGCGCGTGCCAGCCTCCGGGCCGCGCAGAGGGCCGCGTTGCCACGGCAACGGCGCTATAGAGCTGGGAGCAGCGGCCTCCGCCAGGCGCCCCCGCCGCAGGTGCGGAGCCTTTGTCTGGGCCTCCGCTCCCCGCCCCCGCACATCGCAGGTGCCCAGTGCCCTTCGCACGGCTGCCCCACAGAACCCGCTGGTTACGCTTGGAGGCCTCAGTGCCTCCCTGGAAATCAGATTTTAAAGGTAGGAAGGTCAGTTGTGGAGGCGCCACACGGGGACTTCACTTACTTGTTGGCCGGGACTCCCAAGGCCTCGGCCGCTGCCGCCCATTGCTACTCGCAAGGGGCGCCAGAGTCCCTGCTGCGGGGCCGAGAGAGCCCATGCAGATCTCCCCGGGAGCGCGCCTCACGGGGTGCCATGTAGAGCAGAAGGCAGGTGCTGGTTACGGGTTGTGGGTTCTGTTCCTGTCCCAGCTCTGGCCAAGGTCCCAGAGCCCATGCGCTTCTGGAGTGCTTCCCCGAGGTGGGACTGCTACCCCCAGATCCGCATTTCCCAGGCTTTCGGGATGTGAGCCCTTGATGCTGGCAGGAGCCTGTGTCAGCCCCTCCATGTGCGGCCAGGGGCATCTTAGTCTCCCGGTAACGACCCCACCCCAGTGCCCCCGTTTATTCCTGCGACCTGGACCAGCATGAAGCTCCAATTTCAGCGACTACAAACGTCAGACTGACCGATATTCTAGCTGATGTTCACCTAAAGAAAACAGGTTGAAGCGCCATTAGGATGTCCACCAAAAAAGAACATGCCATGATCTAATTAAAGTTGTGAACAGTTTGCCTTTAGACACGTTGTCCAACACACAATTAAGCGTGTGGTTTAACACTGTATTTTGGAACTATTTCTTCTGTGTTCTGAAAGTCACACCTAATATTTAAATGGTGAAACACAGATTAACCACCAGAAACCTTGGACTGCTCTCGTTATGGTTTTGAGTCAGTAACTCTCCAATAGTTTTAATTTCCCTCACTTCATTTTTTTTAAGATTTATTTATTTGAAAGGCCAAGTTACAGGGCAAGACAAAGAGCTCTCCCATCCGCTGGCTGACTCCCCAGATGGTCACAACTGCCAGAGCTTGGCCAGGCTGAAGCCAGGAGCTTGGACCTCTAGTTGGGTCTCCCACGTGGGTGCCGGGGCCCAAGCACTTGGGCCATCCTCTGCTGCTTTCCCAGGTGCATTAGCAGGGAGCTGGATCAGAAGTGGAGCAGCCGACACTCAAACTGGTCTAGAGATGCGAGTGTCACAGGCAGCGTCTAAACATGCCACACCACAACCCCAGCCCCTCTCCAGCACCTTCTTGCTTCTATAACCTACCGTGATCCATGGCTGCCATTCCTACATGAGAAATAAAAGGTATGCCTTAAGATGGCTAAAAGACATTGTGGGGAAGAGGTTTGAGTCCTGCCTCTACTTCCAATTCAGCTTCCTGCTAATGCACACCTCGGAGGCAGCAGATGGTGGCCCAGATGCTTGGGCCCCTGTTCCCACATCAGAGACCTGGATGGAGTTCCTGGGCTCCTGGCTTTGGCCTGGCCCAGCCCTGGCTGTTGCAGGCATTTGATGAATAAGCCAGAGGATGGAAGCTTGCTCTGTCACCCTGCCTTTCAAAGAAATAATTTTTTTTTTAAGAAAGAGCTTTGGGGGCCAGCACTGTGTTGAAATGGGTAAAGCCACCACCTGCAGTGTCGGCATCCCATATGGGCACCGGTTTGAGTCCCGGCTGCTCCACTTCCAATCCAGTTCTCTGCTGTGGCCTGGGAAAGCAGTAGAAGATGGCCCAAGTCCTTGGGCTCCTGCACCTGCATGAGAGACCTGGAAAAAGCTCCTGGCTCCTGGCTTTGGATTGGCGCAGTTCTGGCCATCTAGGGAGTGAACCAGTGGATGAAAGACCTCTCTTTCTGCCTCTACCTCTCTGTAACTCTGCTTTTCAAACAAATAAATAAATCTTAAAAAGAAAGAAAGCTTTGCAGACAGTCCTAAAGTGCAGTCCAGGCTGAGAATCATTGCGCTGTGATCTCCTAGCCACAGTGGGAAGTGGGGATGCTTAAACTCACCGAACCCAGAGATTGGATCTCAGCGCTGAAGCTGGTGCCAATACACTCAAGCCAGACAAAGGGGTCATTTGCCTTAGCCACCTCGTGTCATCGTAGTGCTGCTCACAGAGCCCCCAGCAGCCACCTGTGACGGTCCTTTACAACAAATATGTAACCATCTAATCAGGGCACAACCATTTCCCAGACTTGCCCAAGCAGCAGTGACCTAAATATTACTCAGGGTGTCTGACTTCCAGCCCCAAAGGAAGAATGTATTTGGTTTGATTGTTTTCATGCTAATGAACTTGGGCCAGTAATGCAAAGTCCCCATCAGGATGGCTGAATCATTTGAGGCTATGAATTAGTTCTTCAGACAGAAAGCCAATGGTGGTGTGGTTTTATTGAATTACTCACTTTTCAATAGAATCATTTATGCACCCACTCAGTCTAATTTGTTGTGCCATTTTTTAATTGATGGAAGATAAACTGAACAGGAATAGGGCTGGGGGTGGAGTTGGGGGTAGTTTTCCGTGGAAGTGGCCCAGCACGTTTATGCCAGCTAGATCTTTGGAAAATGTGACTAGCTCACTTACAAGGCAGCAGCACAGGAAGTAGCGTATAGCAGCAGATTGTTCCACACTCTGTCCCAGGTAGCCCTGCAGGCAGTAAATGAGGTCCCTATTAGAAGCCACTATCGCTGTAAACACACACAGCAGGGAGATCCACCCCCCTGCCCACCCAGAGGTCAGGGGGATTGGCCCACCAGAAGGTCAAGGTCAAGGCAAATTTGGCAAGAAGCCCCGTGGGGACACGTCACATTTAAATCTCCTAGGAGACCTGGGGCAGAGCAAGGAAGGTTACTGTGGGCCCTTAAGTCAGTGCTCACAAAGAAGATGGGAGCCATCCATGGCCACCCGCAAAGCACACGTGTCCCCCAGGAGGGCCCACACGCTCCTTCCCAGCCAGCTCCAGGAGGGACCTTACAACCCCGCCAGTGGGAACAAACAGGCACGCAGCCACAGGGCCCCGAGACCCCGCGGGGCCTCCGCTGTGCCTACCAGCAGCAGTAGGGTGAATGCCTCTGTGATGTGGGATCCCTGAGCACGAAAGCCTGGGCCACTGCCACGGGCTCCTCTCTCATTAGAGGGCCACAAATAGATGCCCCATCCCAGGAAAAGCGAAATGAGGCTGTGTGGAATACGCTGTGCGTTGGAATACAGTTCTGCTCTGCCTGACACGATTACTGAGTTCTCAGTTCTGTACAAGTGGCTTTGAGTAAGAGTCTGAAAATTGACTCATTCTGTCCTCGCCTAAAATAGCACATGCAGAATAGGGAAAGCAGAGCTGCTAGGAAGTGTGCGGAACAGATTGAAAGAAAGGCCTGCCCTGCTTCTGTTACCACCAGTGTACATCGGAGCAGGGGCTGGATTTCCCACCCAAGGCGTCCGTGTGACGCTCGCTCCTTCAGCAGTGAGAGCAGGGGACCGTGTTTAGCTAATGTGGCTGAGCACAAACCCCTCTGTTCTCAAGCAGGCAGTAGGAAATGGACAGTGTTTCTTTTCATCTCAGTGTTTGGGCTTGGCTTGTGAGATGCTTGCTTCTGTTTTAACCTTTGGGAATCTCAGCAGAACAGAAACCCCTGTCACCAGCTACGTCATCACAGGTTCTTCAACATCGGTGCCAGGTGCCTGGCCGGGCAGCAAGGCTTAAGGACTGTAAGGTGAGAAAGCCATAAAAAGGACTCTGTTGGGGCTGGCATCCTGGCACAGTGGGTTAAGCCTTAGCCTGTAATGCAGGCATCCCAGATGGATGCCAACTCGAGTCCCAGCTGCTCCACTTCTGATCCAGCTTCCTGCTAATGCACCTGGGAAAGCAGCAGAGGATGGCCCAAGTGCTTGGGGCTCTGCCACCCACATAGGAGACCTGGATGGAATTCCAGGCTCCTGGCTTCTGCCTGGCCAGCCCAGGCCAGTATGGCCATTTGGGGGATTTGGAGGATGAACCAGCAAATAGAGGATCTTTGTCTCTTCTTTTAAAAAAAATTAATTTAAAACAAAAAACAAAACTGTGTCATCAGCCCCCAGGAATAAACCTTAAGTCAGATTTAAACACACCCAAGAACAAGTTCAAGGGCCTCCTGGATTTGACAGGCCTTTCTACCAATACTGCTCCAGAAGGCAGCATACGTGGTCCCCTGAAGAGGCCTGGAGATGGGAGGGCAAGGGTCCTTTGCACCCCAAATCATTTGTTCAATGAACATTCCAAACCTAAGGACCTCAGTCCCCAAAGAACTTGATTCCCTTACCAGTGGGGCACTGGCTTAGCCCCCACAACTGCACTAACCACTGTGTGTGTATTTGCTCCTTTTAATCCCACCAACTCATTGTTTTTTAAGATGGAGAGTAGAGTTTGGTGTGTTTTCTGTTTGTTTGTTTTGGAAAGGCAGAGACAGACAGAGATCTTCCATCCTTTCGTTCACTCCCCCAAATGCCTGCAACCGGGACAGGTTGAAGGCAGCAGCCCAGGACTCAATGCAGCTCTCGCACGTGGCTGGCAAGGACCAGGTACTTGAGCCATCACCTGCTGCCTCCCATGGTGCCCGTTAGCAGGAAGCCGGAAACAGAAGTGGAGCTGAGACTCGAGTCCTTACCCTCCAATATGAGCTGCAGGCACCTTAACTGGTGCACTGAGACTCTTTGGAAGAGAAAATTCTCACTGATCCCAGTTAAGGAAGGCGAGAACTAAGTGGCTGCCCAGCCGTGCAGCCGAGTTTGAACCCTGGTCTAGCTGACTGCAAGCCGCACGTCCTGCCCTGTGTGCCCCAGCCCTGTCCTCTTTGCATTGAGCAACATTCCTAGAAACACACAGAACCTGGAGGCCCCCTGCCCCCATCTCTTCCTGCAGCCTCTGCCGCCAGCTGCATGCATGACTCCCACATGTATTATACGTAAAGTTCCAAAAGGCCGGTTAGTTTCT